CCATGTAATTGTAACCCCTCTGTACAGTATGTTCACAAATAAAATTAAAATAAAAAAATACTGTACAGAGGGGGTACAGTTACATGAGTAAGGTAATGAGTAATTTCCTATTGAGCATTGTTACCTCCTCTTTTGTTTTTCCCCTACCATCCCTTCCCTCCCCACCTCCTCCCTCTCTCTCCCCTAATTGAGTCCTCTTTTACTCAGCTTTTCATTTCCAGAATTTCAATCTAGTAAAGTTCTTGCTTTGGCCAGGTGGCTTGGCCCTTGTTGATTACGTCCTATTCCTGCTACACTTTAAGAACACCTGCTACAAGCTCATTGAATTTTAGTTACATCCTGTTCCTGTTAAGACATCTTATTTCTATTAAACCACATCCTACTGCAGATCATCAACCTGAGTTCTGCCAACCTGAGCAGAGGGGCAGGATCTGCCGCTTTAGGGACAAAAGAGGAGCAGCCCTGCTAGTTTGGCTGATGGTGTACCCTTCCATTGGAGTAAACTTTGCCTTACTGAGTTCCTTTATAATTGCTATCTTTATTACTATGTGACTCTTGGGCTCTCAGTAATTTTGGCCTTCTCAGCAGCATCATATCAGATTCTATCCTACATGATTTCTGATAGCCATTACCCATCTAGACACTTTTAGAATTGCCCCCAAATCCAAGCCATGATTACTCCTTGTTTTCCAGTTCCCAGAATGGTTCAGTATAAAGACATGCCCTCTCAAGATGGTGTCTTGCTACAGCTATCCAAGACAAGGGCAGGGACAAAGTCTTAATAAAAATTGATGCTAGCCTTCTACACTGGAGCAGTCTAACTAAGCCATTCACTGGATTTTTAAGGCATGCTGGGAGTGATCAAGTTCCTAGAGGCATCTGGAAAAACCTTGTATTTGCATTTTGTCTCTTCCACTCTGTCCCCAGGAGCTGTGAATGGAACTTGAGACTGCGTTGCTTTTTCTCTTTCACTTTTCTGACTTGGTTTTCAGCTGTCCTGCTATCTCTCTGGTGATTCCCAATTCACTCTTTGGTTACCTGACTCTTCCTATTGACCCAATTAAAAGGCGTATGTGTGGGCAGGTGTCTTTAATCTGCCATCATAGTTTTCCCCTTTCATAAATTTCTTCTATTAAATTGTTTCTGGGATATGTTCTTACTATGTAGCCTAGGCTGGCTTCATACTTTTCCTGTCTCAGCTCCTGTGTTGGGGTTACATGTCTGCATCACATGAACAGCCTGTTTACTCTTCCTTCGTTCACTCTAAAATGGGGAGGAGGGTAACAATGGTTGATTATTTCCTTGTGAAGACATTTCAGAGAGGGGGAGTATTGTACATGTCTATATAAAATTTTAAGACAATAAATCTCAGATATTCTACTTACATCCTAATTTGGAAAGCTTTATTTTTAAAAAGCCTGAGACTTATTGGGGAAATGATACTGGATTTTCAATATATAAAGTTTTAAATATTCAGTATTTCAATTATTTTAAAAGTTTTATACAGTGTGATGTGTATATGATAGGCATAAATGTTAAATTTTATTTATAAGTGAATTGATATAGCTGGGGCTTATTTCAAATAATTATGGAATGGGAATAAGAATGCTTATGTATATTGATTTTGGAAGTTGGATAGTAACTAGGTATCAATATGCAACTATCCTGTACATCTCTATGTCTGAAATTATTAGTATCAAAAATGTAGCTGAAGGGGCTGTGAAGGTGGCTCAGTGGTAGAGTGCTTGCCTCGCATGCATGAGGCCCTGGGTTCGATTCCTCAGCACCACATAAACAGAACAAGTTGGAAGAGGAACTGCGGTTCAAGTGGTACAGTGCTAGCCTTGAGCTGAATAGCTGAGGGACAGCGTCCAGGCCCAGAGTTCAAGCCACATGACTGACCAAAAAAAAATGTAGCTGAAATAATATAAATGCAAGTAAGTATCTAAGAAGGTAATCTAATAGTGATTTCTGTTGGGAAGATTCACTAGACCCTAGGAAAGGTGAGGATCAGCGTCACTGAGTATTTGCCTTTGAAATGTTAACTATAAATAGATGAAACTTTTTATGTGCCTGTCCTGGGGCTTGAACTTAAGGCCTCGATACCGTCCCTGTGCATTCTGCTCAAGGCTAGCACTGTACCACTTGAGCCACAGTGCCACTTCCCAGCTTTTTGGTGGTTAAAAAGGCTCATGGACAGCCAGGTGCCAGTGGCTCAAACCTGTCATCCTAGCTACTCAGGAGGCTGAGATCAGAGGGTCAGAGGATCATGGTTTGAAGCTAGCCTGGGAAGGAAAGTCCCCTTGAGACTCTTTATCTCTAATAAACTATTCAGAAAAACCAAATTGGTGCTATAGTGCAAATGGTAGAGCACAAAGAGAATCAGGGACAGAGCTAGTGTCCTGTGTTCAAGCCCCAGGATCAGCAAAAACAAAATCTCACAGACTTTCCTGGCCCAGCAGGTTTCAAACTGTTATTCTTAGAGCTCAGCCTCTTGAGTAGCTAGGATTATAGGCATGAACCATTGGTGCCCTGATGACATTTTTAAAGAGCAAACTGTTCATCCTTTTGTAAATAATGTTAAATGGAATAAGAAAGTTCCTAACATTTTTCCACTTATATAAAATCTGCTTATACACATTTTCACGAAATCGTCCAGAGTAATATGCACTTAATACTTCTCCCAAATCTATCATTACTGCATGTTCTAATAAAGCAAAATGTGCTTAATCCAGAAATACAAATGTCTGAACAAGAACTAGTTTGATTCTATAAATTATATCTACACAGAAAAGATACAGAATGTAGTGCTTTAGTTTATTAATTTATTTTGCAGAAATCTTTGACTTTCTGAATATGTACTGTTTGGAGGTACGATGCATGCATAGCCTTTAAAAATGCCTTTGTACAATTTCATTTCAAAATAACTTCATTCACAGCATACACAGAAATCTAAAAGACACATGGTATTTACAAGATTTAATAAGTTTTTGCTGCTTTAATGAAGAAACTGATCAATTCCTTTACAGTAGGGAAAGAAACATGGACAGTGGGTGTTGTTATTTATAAATAAGAATTCAGAATTGTTCAGTCTCAAAGCAACTTTTCATGGCTTTAGAAATTAAAATTGAGTCATCATTCTAAATCTCTGAATGCCCAAGCCATGCAGAATCTATGTGTATTAAATATTTGGGGATGCAAATAATACAGAAAAACAGTCTAGTGAATGTGAAAACATCAGAATTAACTTTCACAATAGGAAAATACTGTTAATTCTTTCAAAAAGATACAGTAGTGGTGCAACACAGGCAGTGGTGCCCAATTCAGATTTTTAAAAGTAACATTTTAATAGTCATTTTCTTCTTTCTACAGATACACACACACACTGTAACATGGGCTCACTCAAGATCTAACAGTGGTACAATATTAAAATAATTCAATTTATAACTATAAAGGGTCAGCTTCACATTCCAGGATACATCATTGATATTTTTAAAGGACAATTCTTCTATGCCTTATATTCTTGCTTTCTGTTTATACTGTCAGAAAGACATTACAATTACCTTTTAAAAGACTACATAATATGGAGTTGGGACAAAAGTTGGATATGAACCCTAGGTAACTGTGATAAAGCAACTGACAAAATTTAAAGAAACATCGATTTCATTCATAATTCAAAAGTACTAAAGTTGAGACCAGCTCCTTAAAAATTAAACTGCTTATACTTCCCATTTGTTCTGGGAAATAAGCAAATTAGCAACACTTTTCCCCCACCATCATTAATCTGCTCTAAAACTACATTTTTACAATGCATTTCTTTAAAATCCCTTGCCTCTACTTTCTCCCAAACTAGGTCAATATCAAAACAATATACAATGCTTATAAGTTTCTGCTCCTCTATTACCACTTTACACTTTTTAAGAAGTCCCAAATTTAAGGGGCAATGTTCTTTTAACACGATGACAAATGTGTTTTCTAAAAACCCAGTTTATAAAACAGTGAAATGATGTAAAATGTATATAATACCAGATACTCCAAACTAGTGTTTTTAAGAAAGCAAGCCTCTTACAAGAACAGGAGTATACTAACTGATCCAAGAGCAGAGGCAACTCTGTAGCCAGGAATCACCCGATTTTATATCCACCACTTATATGCCAAGTGCTTATGCATACCAATCTGACAAGAGATCCTTCTGAAAAAGCACCTTGAAAATGGGGTGAATTCTTAATCAAACTGGTCTTATGCAAAAAGCATATGGGACACAGTTAAATATATCAAATTTATCAGTGTCAAATTATTTTACTCATTTTTACAAACTGAATGCAGCCAATAGTGGCATATGAAACCTGTGCACAATTAAAAAGTAATGTGTACAAAACTTCCTTAAAGTCAATCTCTGATTTCTCATACCCCACCCTCCACACCTAGCAGATCCACTATTTCCTCATTTTTCCTGGCAGGTGAAAGCAATGGTAGACTATATATGTCATCAAAGGGCTTGAAACCATGCATCTACTGTATGATAACAGTTTATTTACCTTGATGTATTGTCATGCAATAGTTTTAAGTCATCTACATGGTTTTAATAAAGCATCAGACTGTTTTCAGACATGCTACTTTCATTTTCAATTCACAACTGCCAAGATAACTGCTGCCACTTCAGCATATCACTATGAATACTGGTAAACCTTTTCACAAGAATACGGAGCAGTGTACATGTATGTATGAGTGAGTGTGTGTGTGTGTGTGTGTGTGTATAAAATCTCCCCCAAGTTGTCTCATGACACCAAATAGGGCTGACCATCACTAACACAATATGAAACAATACAAACGCATCTTACAGGATAGTAGGACCGCTAGACTGTTATTGGTGATGGACAGAAACCAGTGTTATAAAAGCCTCTGAAGAATACCATTTCCAGGCTGATGCTCTTAAATCTGTCTTTCTCACCATAATTTTCACAGTTTTTCCACAGTTGTTGTATGAAAGATGTTTTATCAGTGTAATTATCTAACCAGGTTTACTTGGGGAAACAAGTGTATATATTTTGGGGAGTTTTCCACACATGAAAAAAATGCTTTCAAAGCTATACTCAGTGTAAAAAGTTATGATTTTGATGGAAAGCTATGATGATGAGTTATACCTTTGGTTTCATTATGCTTATATTAAGTGCAGCTTTTGTTTTTCCAGGTCTGTCAAGGTTTACTGCTAAATTAGAATACAATGACTGCACAAAGAGTGCATGTTTATATATGTGTGTGTACACAGCCAGAAAAGGGGGCAAACCTGGTATTCCTAAGTTTAGAATATTACATAAAATTATACAGAATGGGAAAACCTATCAAATTTATTGCTCTTTATTTATACTCAACAAAATGGAGGGGACTCCATAATCCCATTTTGAGCCAAGAAGGAAATTCAACAATGGCAGAGAACTTAAATGTGCTAGTAGCAATTTTTTCCATTGATCCATCCCGATGAGTCACATAATTCATTTGTTCAGTCCAAAAATTCTTTAAGAAATAATCCTTTACCATTAAGCAAATCCAGTGATTTCTTAAAGTAGTAATGTTAAGGTTAAAAGGTTGCTTGTTTCAAAGTATTCTGTACTCATTATTTTCTTGATATATATTGCAGTGCTTAGGATCAACCTTAGAGCCTTGTACACACTAGGCTATAATCCCAGCCCCATAGGATTTCTTAATTTCATAGCATTCTCTTGCTCAAATAATGCAGTGTGCTACATGATACAGGCCAACTCTAATTTCCCTCACGTTGGCTTATTAACATGTGCAAATAAATCTTTACTGAACAGCTCATGTTGACTTTTTTCAGCTAAATTAGGATTATGGCACAAAGTATTATCTGTGCTGTAAACATCATGAATTCATCATAAAATTGAAAGGAGGGACAAAAGGGCCCTATGGACTGCAAACATTTCTTAAGAACCACATCTGAGCTCAAGATTTCCAAACTAATTTTGGAATGGACTGGTATTTGGCATACATTCACTGTGCTATTGGTCGAGCACAGTTTTATGAAAATGTCACTTATCAAATCATAGTTTGTAAGGGTTTATTTTTAAAACTAAGGGCCTAATAAAAGCATACAGTAACTTAAAAATCTGCCTTTTATGCGGCATAAGTAGGTCTTAGTTACCAGTGTTGATGTAGCTCAGTGAACCATTGTACAAGCCAAGGGAACTTACCCCCTCTGATTGTACTTTCCCCCTATGTGCCTGATAAGCCCAATTCCTGACTGCTACAAATCACATTTTAAAACATCTTATTTATGTATGTACGTGTGTTTGAAATTACCCCTGAAAAAAGCAGCAATTACAAAAAAACCCTCATTATTTTGCCAAAAAAATAAGATAAAATACCCACATTCTAGGTGCTTTTTCCTGTACTTCTCTTTATAGGAAGCAGCTGGGAAGAAGCACAGGGAGCCTTGGTTTCCAAAGAGCGGTGACCATGTTAAGTCTGCTCTGGAATTCACAGTTTGTCTGCATAAACTGTAACATTTCATCCCACAATACAAAGTTCCACTTTAAAAAGTACGGGCCACTCAGCAATAACTTTAACAACTGGGATTCAACAGAAGAGCTCTTGACTCCCCTGTGTACATTCTTTCAGGAGTGAATCCTTTCCCAGTTTCAAGTATCCCCTTCTTTCTCTCACTCTGTAATGAGTTAAGAAAGCCAAAAACAAGAACAGAAAACAAAAAAAACCCTCCCTCTTTTTCCTTTTGTGAGCACATTGACTCCCAGTGCCATTCCTCCTCCTCCTCCCCCCGCATGCAATCGGAAATGAAAAGGCTGGGCAGGTGAACAGACTCCCAAGGTTTCCTTTTCTTCTGGTGGGTGCTCAAAGTATCACTCTCAACCTGGTGCAGACTCTTCTGAATTCAAGTGTACCGTGGCATCTCGCACTGCTCACAGCGATTCAGTGCAGGGTGGTTGAGAAAGGTGCAGCTGTCACAATTCCATGGAGCCCCTTCATAGTCTTCATCTCGGGGTTGTGTCCGAGGACTTTGTTTGGCGCCACTTAGAAGCTCTGAGGGGAATAAGGATTGAAGGAGAAGGGAATATCGATTAAATTTATTCTCAAGTATGATCTAAACTGAAATGAAAAAATGACCACCAGCAAGGGAGAATACTCCTACCTTATTTAAATGGGTAAACCAATTGGCAAAGGCATTGACTGGAATAGCACAAATGAACAGAAACTTTACAATATACAAGATCTACCTTGTTCTAAGCAGTTTGATTTTCTTGGTGTAAGAAGAGGATAGATACAAGTTCAGAAGAAATTGCCTTCCTAATTCAATATTCATAAATACTGAACAGTTATGCTTTATCCTAGACAGCTGTAAGAATGAAAGCTATTTTATAGCATGTTAAATTAATCTCCTCCATAGGATTTCCTTGACAATCTTCAGCCTACCTTGATTTCTCCTTCCTATAGTATTACCCACTCTATAGTTTATCTTTTGCAATGTGTCCTCTACTATGAGACCTTAAAGCTCCAAAATCCAATGATGGCCATTTATACGAATGGTTCATAAATAGCATAGCTTCTAACAGATAAAGACTCTATAGTTATTCATAAAGCTAAAATTCATTCAATATAAGACTTTAATCCTAGACTGTGTATATAACCTTGATGGCACTAAAAATACCCTTCACAGAGTAGTTTTTGAAAAATTGTCTCTAACTGGCAATATCAAATACTGGCAACCTTATATTGATCTCTAGGATTAAAAAAAACACCTTCAAACTTGTGTTCCTATGAAGTCTTCATTCTTTTTGCGGCTCTGCTAGTTAATTTGTAAATCCCGTTCCCTTTTGGGAACAATCCCTACTGAGAAGAGGGCCAGTGACTACAAGGCTAAAGCTCTCCAGATGGAATTCATCCTAGAAAAGTGGGGCAAGGCCAGGAGATTGACAGAATCCCCTGGAAACCCTCACTATGAACTTAAAATGTGATTAAGATCTAAGGTAAGCAAGTTTTCCAAATAGGTAACAAAAGAAACTGAGATCTGAGGAACCTTTGTCAGTTAACTGTTTAGGGCTGAGCATACCTTCCACTGAAAATTAACTAGGTGACTTCTGGCTTATCAATTTGTCTTTTGTGACAAATGGCTAGTGTGAACATTTCCCAAGAGGTAAAGAGAACTGAGGTTTAGACCCTGAACTTTACCCCATGATAAGACTTGGTTCCAATCAGGTAGGTGACCCTAGTTTTACCATATGACAGAAAATTACTGGATTCTCTGGCTTATTCCTATAACTACAAATGAGAGAGATGCTTGTTTCTCTTGCTTTAAATGCCAATTTCAATTGCCATCACCACCTATCTTTTGCTTTATGACTTGAAAACATGTAGATTTAATAGTTTTTTTCTTGTATGGAACAAAGTCTTCTGCTTTAAGGAAAGAATGTTTATAGAAAAGATCTTATATAGTAGTCTGTCTTTTCAAAGCAAAATATACCTTAAAATATATACAAGTCCTAATAACTCAATTTATCCTTTCCTAGATGACATATTTCATGAATATTACAGAGTAAGAAAAATTAAGGCATTAAACTCCTAGCTGTTATACTGTCTTTCTATGTCAATTCTAAATGTAGCCTTCAACATGAAAAGGTTTTTCAAACTGATTTTTTTGTCAGTCATGGGGCTTGAACTCTGAGCCTGGGCACTGTCCCTCAGCTCTTCAGCTCAAGGCTAGTGTTCTACCACGTGAGCCACAGCACCACTTCTGGTTTTCTGGTGGTTTGTTGGAGGTAAGAGTCTCCCGGACTTTCCTGCCTGGGCTGGCTTTGAACTGTGTTCCTCAGATCTCAGCCTCCTTAGTAGCTAGGATTATAGGCATGAGCCACTAGCACCTGGCTCAAACTGAATTATTTTTTAAATTGCATAAATAACTGAAAAAAATCCAAAACCTCTTTTAACCTAACTAATCCAAGACATCTGGGGATTCTTGACTGTTTAGTGCTATGATAATTTAATATGGAATAATAAATTATCCTGGAGTTACTTAGTGAAAGTATACTTTTTTTGGGGGGGGTCCGGTTGTGGGGCCTGAACTCTGGGCTGGGCGCTGTCCCTCAGCTCTTCAGCTCAAGGCTAGTGCTCTACAACATGAGCCACAGCGCCACTTCTGGCTTTTTTCTTTTTGCTGAGGAATCGAACCCAGGGCCTCAGGCATGCAAGGCAAGCACTCTACCACTGAGCCAACTTCCCAGCCCTGAAAGTATACTTTTTTAAGGTACTTTAATTACAATTATTTTTGGACCTAAAACAGACATGATTCATTTTATCATACAGAATTCCTATTTTAAGATGTCTACTCTCATTGCATTTTCAGGTAGTCCATCTTTTCTTTTTTGTGGCGTATCTTAAAACTTAAGCCATTCTTTTTCTTTTCTACAGGGCTCAAAATATGCATATTTATATATAAATGAAGTATGTTTCTCCTTTCATGTTTTGGAATAGATTATAGACTAAGTTTCCATAAAAAGCCCCACAAATAGAAATTAGAATACAGAAGTCAAATTGCTCAAAGTATGTAACTAAAATTTTGAAAAATTCTTAGAAAATTTAATTTAAAAATGACAACTGTGACAATGATAAAGAGAAAGGATTTTGTGCCTTGTTTGTTCTTAGGATGGGCTCTTTGCATATTAGGGGGAATTCAAGAAAGTACAAGTAAAATACTTGCACAAACTCAAGTATATACCTTATTTTTAGAAACATCATTTCAACTGAAGGCCAGGACAAAGCTAAAGAAGATTTATCAATGAGAAGTTTCTCTCTACTCTTACCATAGAGCTAAAAGTTTTCAATATGGCTGCATAGGTCACTTGAAATATGTCCTTATTGATATGTGCTTTAAAATGTATAAATGTAGGGCTGGGAATGTGGCTTTGTAATAGAGTGCTTGCCTAGCCTGCATGAAGCCCTGGGTTTGATTCCTCAGTACCACATAAACAGAAAAAGCCAGAAATGGCATTGTGGATCAAGTGGTACAGTGCAAGCCTTGAGCAAAAGAAACTCAGGGACAGTACCCAGGCCCTGAGTTCAAGCCCTAAGACTGGCAAAAAAAAGTACCAAATGTAGTATTAAGCAGGGCTCCGGTGGCTCATGCTTATTATCCTAGCTACCCTGAGGCTGCGATTTGTAGATCATGGTTCAAAGATAGCTCAGGCAGGAAAGTCCATGAGATTCTTATCTCCAATTAACCACTAAAAAGCCAGAAGTGGAGCTGTGGCCCAAATGGCAGAGTGCTAGCCTTGAGCAAAAAAGCTTAAGCACCCCAGGCCCTGAATTCAAGCCCCAGAACTGGGACCAAAAAAAAGCCAAAAACCAAAACAAAAGAAAATACCAGGTAACACCAGTTTTGAAAACTTATGAAAAATTTTATATATTTTTTCATATTGAAATATTTTATATATATTAGATAAGATACATTATAATGAATTTTATATTTCTTATATTTTTTACTTTAGCTACTAGAATACTGTGAATTATACATGTGGCTCATAATTTTGCAAGCAAAAAGTAAAGATGGGATTTTCATTATGGTAACTCTTCACAGGTTAACACAAACTCTGGACACAGAAGTACAAACCATCTGCAACTGCTGCCTGGGTGTCATGGACATCTGCCTGTACTTTGGAAGTCACACTAATTCTTCGGGCTTTTCTCTCAATGGTACAGGGGTCTGAGGAGTCTGCATAAGAAGAAGCAAAGCCAATTAGGTGCAATCAAGTCATTCTTCGGCTAGACTGTAGATGCTCACAAGGATCGCTGATGTAACCCACAGATGAGTGTGGTTACCTTTTCTTTTGTTCATGTTACCTTAGTTCTCTGAACTGCAAGTACTACATTTCATGTTGCTCTGCAACCTACATAGAGTAATGGCTTTTACAACCTTTTTAATCCTTCCTGATTACTTGGGAAAATGCCCTACTTCACTAGATTTCCACTTTTTAGTGGTTATGGGGAACTAATCCAACAATAGCAATTAAATGTCAATGTAAAAAATCAGTATTTAGGAGGTTACACTTCAATAACTATGAATAACAGTAAATAGAAAATAATGGGCTGAAAATACACTACACAGCCAGGTATCACAGGCTCAAACCTGTAAACATAGCTACCGAGGCAGCCGAGATCTGAGGATTGTAGTTCTAAGCCAGCCCAGGAAGGAAAGTCCATGAGACTCTTAACTACAATTAACCACCAAAAACCTGGAAGTGGATCTGTGGCTCAAGTGGTGGAATGCTTGGCTTGAGCAAAAAAGTTCAAGGACAGTGGCCAGACCCTGAGTTCAAACTCCAGGACCAGCACCAAAAAAAATAAACTCACAAAAAAGATACAGTGCACATACAAATCTAACCAAATTAAGAGCAGAAACAACTCAAAATACAATTACCAACAAACATATATTCTAAATCATTTCATGAATTCCAATTACCTGAATTTGCAGCCGACCAGTAGATACTTTGCAATATAGATAAAAACTGCAGGTATCCCAAAGTCTTGATAGAATATTATTTCTATGACCTAATAGGTTATTGGTAAGCAAATCTTTGTATTAGATAAAATATTTCAGTTTAGATATTATTTGCCTTTATGAAGTAAAGAAAGAAGATTTTCTTTCTTTCTTGCATTTTCTAATCAGTTCTTAGACCATATGTAATTCCCTAATTTAACCCACCTTGGGAAATCACGGTTCCAGAATTCGAAGCATGGTGCTTACAGACTTAAATTTAACTCCTTTATCAGAGTAAGTGACTCTTTAGGTTCAAAAGAATAAGGCAAAGCTCTATTTGTGAAGAACTTGTATAGCATCACGTGCTGACTCTGACAAAAACTTTGTAAGATACACAGGCAAGTGTTTGAACAGATCACCTCTGGGTAGTGCACAGATTAGATATGAGCAGAACTCAGGTCTTGCAACATCAGGTGAGTGCTCTTACTCCTATATAAGTTTCAAGTGAGGGCCTAGAGAGACCTGCTGAGTCACACAGGTACACGGTATTGCTTAACAGCAAAGTCCAATCCAAAGACATTTCTGTGTCCCTATCTAACACCCTTATTACTCTGCTACACTTCCATATTCCATGTGGATTCTAGAGTATATCTATAACTCCAAGATATTTACTCAACAATAAACCAGTCTTAGTAGCAATTTACTGATGTTCAAAGTGAATGATACTGTAAATAAATCTGCATTAAATCAGATATATTTATTTGTTGTTGTTGGTCATGAGGCTTGCGCTCAGGGCCTGGGCGCTGTACCCCAGCTCTTCAGCTCAAGACTAGTGCTCTACCACTTGAGCCACAGTGCCACTTCCTGTTTTCTGAGTGGTTAATTGGAGATAAGAGTCTCACGGACTTTCCTGCCCAGACTGGCTTTGAAGTATGATCCTCAGATCTCAGGCTCCTAAGTAGCTACGATGACAGGCGTGAGCCACAGGCGCCTGGCATTACATGTATTTTTTAAAGGTGATTTAATTTAAGAAACAAAATAAATCTAAACGTAGTGGTTGACTTGCAATCCCAGCACACCAGAGCCTGAGGAAGTAGATTTTCTAGTTTGAGGTCAATCTGGGATATACAGAAAACCTTGCCTCCAAAAATAATATGCTTAGCATAAAACAAGTCTGACTTCATACAATTGAATTAGCTTGACAAAAACTAAGTTTTATTATTTATGAAATAGATGTGATTTTACAAGGCATCCAGTCTTAATGAAAAATTGTGAGCTTCACACCAGTGACTCACATCTGTAATCCTACTACTCAGGAAGTTGAGATCTGAGGATCAAAGATTTGAATCCAGCTTGGAAAGGAAAGTCCATGAGACTTTCATCTCCAATAAGCCAGAAGTTTATCTCCAATAAACTACCAAAAAGCCAGAAGTGGAGCTGTGGATCAAGTGGTAGAGCACTAGCCTTGAGAAAAATAAAATAAAAAGGAAAAACAAAACTCAGGGACAACATATAGGCCAAGTTCAAGCCCCAAGATTGGCACACACAACAAACATTGTGTACATGCATAGTATAAACTCCTTGGGGATAGGAGTCAAGTATTCCCTTTATATGGGAGCTAGCACTATTTATATAGTCTACATATTGAACATCTGATTCATATTTAAGAAATTGGGAGCCATATATTGTGGCTTCCATCTGTAATTCCAACTACTCAGAAGGACCTTGGTTTGAAGTCAGCCTGGGCAAAAAATTGTCCTGAAATCCCATTCAATCCCACTCCAATATGGTGGGCTGTTCTTTGTTTGCTTCTTATAGTGGAATTTTAGATCTTCCCATCCTTTTTTTTTTCCAGTTGTGGGGCTTGAACTCTGGGCCTGGGCGCTGTCCTTCAGCTCTTCAGCTCAAGGCAGCACCCTACCATTTGAGCCACAGTGCTACTTCCGGTTTTCTGGTGGTTAGTTGGAGATAAGAATCTCATGGATTTTCCTGCCCAGGATGGCTTTGAACTGCGCTTCTCAGATCTCAGCCTCCTAAAGTAGCTAGGGTTACAGGCGTGAGCCACTGGCTCCAGGCTAGATCTTCCCATCTTAAATAAGCATTTAAAGCATTCAAAGTCCTACTTATATCTCCTACTACTATGAGATAACTTCTGTAACTTTGCAATTTCCTGAGTAATAACAATGTCTTTTTTTTTTTTTTGTATTGGGCCTGTGACAGATAAATTGTCTACCATTTCTGATTAACTTGGTCCTCCGCTCTCAGTTTCTCAACACAATTCCATAAAAGGACAATTCCTCCATGACTGGTGGTCACCAGTACATCCCACTTACTCAAGTTTAAAAGCTCACATTTTATGAACCCAAAACACTAAAGTGATCAATATGTATACAACCCAGTGGCTTTGAGCATGAAACTCCATAATGTTGCCAAATTTAGCAGTCATCACTAAGACTTTTTTGTAACATTTTTAGAAAACTGATTCTGTGTTAAATTCCATAAACAAAATGTAAAGCACTCTGAAGCAGATCAAGTTACATTATTTAAATACATTTTAAATATTCTGAAATTAAAATCATCATATAGTCGAGTGATTACCTGTGCTTTCTATGCAGATGCTCTATACTTGAGCCATGCTTCTAGACCTTCTCTTGCTTTAGTAATTTTTTGGATAGTGTCTTGTGTATTTGGCTAGACTGGGCCTCAATTCTACCGTATCCTTGTAGCTGGGATTCCAGATGAGCAATACCACATCCAGCTCTCAAGTACTACTTTAAATCTAAGGCATTTTCCACTACTCAATGTCTTCATGATTAAACTATCTTTAAAACACAAAATACGTAACTTTAATTCAGTCTTTAGAATTATGACTATAAAACAATATAGGCTATTAATAAGAAGGGGGCAAAATCTACATTCAATGACTCAACATGTAAATTTAATTGAAATTAAGTTTAAAGATACTGAGATTCTAATTAACCATTTGATGCCTTTATTATAGAATCACTTCTTGATACTGAGTATCTGAAAATAATTCATTCAAACCTTTGTTATGAAGGATTTATTTTACCCTTAATGAAGAAATAGGGAGTTCTATATAATTGTTAAGACTCATCTTTTGAAATGTACCAGGATTCTATTGCCTGAAAATCTGTAGATCTAACTTTTTATTTTGGTATAGCATCTTTACAATTCGGACTGTTTTTGCAAGAATTATCTTTTAGAATTATAGTTCGTACAATGCTGAATAAAACATAATGTAAACTATATGACATACTGCTTTAATTTCTTTTAAAAATATATCCCATCTAAATTGTCATTGTTAATGAGTTATTTTAATGTTTTTAAAAATAAAAATTTGGAAACCATCAGTATGGCCATATTAATATCATCAATATTCTTCAGATAGTTATATGAAATCCCCAAAATTTTGGTTATTTATTTTCTCCAATGTTTGTGCTAGATCCATACTCACCTTTTTTAGATGGTTTTGGTGGTACAACTGGGCCAGGTTCTATGTTATCATAAAAATTATTCATGGCTTTTGGGTCAAAGTTTCCTATAAAGTAAATATAGAGAGTAAGATTCTTTGTCTTATTACTTGAATTTTAAAAAAGAGGATAAATGTAAGAAGAGAAAATATTTTCATTATTACTATCCTCCTTTTCCCACTGAAATTGTTTTATCACTGTAAGAAAAGGTTTTTAAAAATCAAATCTAACCACACTAATATCTGTCTACAATGTCTTACCTGAAGGAGAAATAATCCTAACAGTAAAATTAGTCTCCTTCAGCAGAATTAGGCACATGGGGTATTTGAAGGGAAATGAAAGAATTGCTGACTTATAGTTCTGCTTGTTTTAATTTAATGAACAAGCCATAAGAAAATAGTGACAGCTTACTTTCATAAATTTATTATCATAAATTCATCTTAGAAGCCAAAGATATACATTAGTTATCAAATTATATTTTGAGATATCAAATAGTCTAGATAAATGTGAAATATCAGCAGCTCATAAATTTCAATTTTCAAGAAAAATAAATCTTAAATTTCATGTTAAATGTTATCTACAGGCTTTGACAATGTGCCTATTTTTGAATACATAATACAATCACTGAGAATTGCAACAAAGTTTAACCTCTTAAACTGATCACTCCTTAACCCTACTGTGACTCTTCCAAGGTTAATTTGGATACAGTGCAAATTCTGGGTCCATTTTCACTTCTGTACTAGGCTTATTCTACATAAATCCAAATAGGCTTTACAGTTGTACCCATGCTTTATGCCATATAGTACTCACAGTTTAACTATATCAAATCTCTCGTTTTCTAAACTTGATTGTTTTCCCCAACAAAACTTTTCCTTATTAAAGAAAACACTTCAGCTGTTTTTCAATCCATGCACTGACTTACATGTAATCTACAAGCTGAACCCCAACAAAAATTAGGTAAAAACTCAATATAAGGTTTTCTAAGGTGTGGAATTTAGTAAGTATCTTTGCACTCCTTACGAGATTAAGAAATGCTTACAAAGAGCTCATTGCCAAGTACATTCTAAAAGCCTTGCTTATGAAACATTAATAATGGTTTCCTCTGTAGGTCCTATTACAAATGCTTTATCCTAGTTGGATATGTTCTATTATTTTAAGAGAATTTTCTAAAAAACTATTATAGTTCATGGAAGTCACAATGCTATTTGGTGAATTAATTTGATTTTTTATCTTTAAAATGCTGCTTATCTATTTCAATTATGAAGGTACAAGTGATGTTCTAATTTCTGGATTCTGTAAGACATGCTATACATATCTTAACCAAATGTTTCAGCTAGTGTCTTTTGTTTTGCTTACAGACCACACAAGTAAAAAACCTGATGCAAAAGCTTGTATAAGCTTTACATCCTGCATCCTGATTCCTTTTACTGTTTAAAACTAGTAGGCTATACAGTGACTAGGCATCTAAAAATAACTTCCAAGGGACCTGGACTGCATAGCTCAACTGTTGCATTCAAATTTGCCTGTTTATATTGTTCAGATAATTCCCTATCTTTGGAGTTTACCTACCTCTTTTATCTTGCCTAAAAATGGCAATGCAGAAGCTCTCTTAGGCCATAATTAAGAACAGTAAGTATAGGGATTTGGGGGGAAAGTCGTTTTAAAAAACGGAATGTTTTAAACTACACATCAACTTTAATGTAACAGAATATGAATATAATAGTATTTTTATCCTTATCATGCTGGAGATTGAGCTCAGGGCCTTGTATACTTTAGGCAATCCAATCACACTGCCATTGAGCTACATATTCAACTAATATATCAATATTTTAATATTTGACTATAATTGAAGGTCCACATTATCTTACATAAACTGTATTCATCCATAATTAGCTAAGCAGAGGTCATCAAACTTTATTTCACAGGCCATATAATAAATATTTTAGACTTTGTGGCCTGTAATATAATCCCTGGTCCAAGTACTCAACTGTGTCCTTGAAACACAAAAGTAGCCATGGACAATATGTAAACAAATGGGTGTGTCTACTACTTCACTAAAACTTTTCAAAAACAGAGGTGGGTATGTTTGCAGAACATTGATCAGTAATTTTGTGTCTCATTTCTTTAGAATCTAAAAGCCATTGTTTTTCCCACTTAATCTTATCCATATCTAATTCAAAGTCCTTATACTTTTATAGTGATTTGCCTTGGAATCTTTTTGAGTTTTTTTTTTTTGTTGTTGTTGTTTTGTCGGCAGTGTGGCTTGAATTCTGGGCCTGGGCGCTCTCCTTCAGCTCTTTCAAGGTTAGCATGCTCTGCCACTTGAGTCACAGCGTCCACTTCTGGCTTTTTCTGTTTATGTGGTGCTGAGGAATTGAACCCAGGGCCTCATGCATGCAAGGCAAGCACTCTACCACTAAGCCACCTTCCCAGCCCCTGCCTTGGAAACTTAAAAATAAGTTTCTTATGGAAATGTCATCTACTAGTCAACAGTGTGCAGCAACTTAGGAAACAGTCTATTTTCCAAAAGAAATGAAGGCCGTTGCTAATATGGCATTCTGTGTGAATGAATGAAAATCAGTTAAAACAGCTGCTGCCGTAGCATACTTCTGTAAGAAATCCAAGGAACTACACTATAATTATATTCTTATATTGTTATGCAACAGATAACCCAAAAGTAGCACACTGAATTCTAATTTGGGATCCCTATTATTTTAGATGACTATCACATAATATAAACTCTACTGTCTTGGAATTTAAAACCTATCACTTTATAAAATGTATCCACTAAATGACTAAAACATAAATTTAAAGTAACAACATAGAACAGTCTAAATGCTAAGAACTAAATGATGAAACTGCCAAAGTAAAATTAACTTTTCAAACTCCCTAAATATGATGGATGACCATGGGATTTGGGAATCTCTTAATCTTATAATGGATAAAAACTGTCTTTTAAATCTATAAAAACCAAAATTATTGCTAGTTAAGCAGCTTTAAAAACCACACTATTACTTTATGGTTTACCAAATAATCAAGTCTATACCTCTAGATTGAAGGAGATCAACTTCTTTCAATGTACAGTCAACATTTATCTGGAGTTGTCTGTTCATGCTTCTCAATCTTGTCATTTCCTCAGGCTAGTAAGAAAGGACCCAAAATAGCAATTGTGGGAAAGTTGTTATCAAGCCCAACACTTAAAAACTGTGTTTCATGTTATTTGTTCTGATTGGGTATTACCAAGAATATGGCCTTAGTCCATAAGAGGACATATTTAAGAATTCTTATATGTTATGCTTTTAAAGGAATAATCAAGTCAAATGGGGACCACAACAACAGAGCTTCTAATAAACAAAAGCTGCATATAGTGGCTTGCTATACTTCTGGACTATGTTCTATCAGAAAAGACCATTTAAAACACTGACTATAGAGAATATCTTATGTTTTCATGTAAGGTAAACCATGAGAACCAACATTTCAAACAAGAAATGTCTACGGTTTAAGATTTGTCTAGCCTGGTAAAAATGACAACTCATTTTAGTGATAGTTTCAAGCACATTTTACCAGGATTCTCTTCTTTCTTTAAACAATTCATTGAGGTAGGTAGTAATGTCATACACCACACCGATTTGTTGATGATAAAACTGAGACAAGTTAATTTTCACAGTTATAAATCCAATGACTGGAATAGGCCAAGACTTATATACAAGTCTCACATATTAATTCATTTAGAAATATTTTTCTCTTTTTTCCTAGATTGAAGGCAGTGCTTAATATTGTACATAAACATTTCAGGCACAAATAGAGTTTGTTTTTTTCTCCAGCTTTGCTTATTGCAAGCTTTCAAGCCCACCAAACTTCTTAGCCCTTTCAGGAACACATATGAGTCAGCCAAATGGAGCAAGGAAGTTTTTTGGAAGCCTTTCCTTCTTTATTCCTTACTGTGCATATACATAAATAGTAAAGCCAGTGCATGGATTCTAGAGGAATGGGTACTGAAATTTTAGCACATCCCAGGGATTAACTCCATTAACTAGATTGGTTTCAATTATATGGAGTAAAATGTTAAATACTTTATTATTACATGAAAATATCCTATTCTGTTAATGCTTTTGGGGGCAAAAGTTAAATATGTTAACAGTGAGGAAAATGAACAGGAAGGTTATATTAAGTTATAAAAATACAAGATCTTTAGGAGGTATTGTAAGAGTGAGTTGGAATGCCCATTACATTAGCAGGGGAAGTGGCGTTATGGCTCAAAGTGGTAAAGCGCTAGCCTTGAGCAGTGCCCAGGCCCTGAGTTTAAGCCCCACAACCAGAAAAAAATTAGCAGGAAGTTAGCAGAAGTTCCAAAAATGACAATAAAATGTTTGAGCTAAAATCCCTTGGACTGCCAAGAGAACAACAAAAATCACTTTAAAATATTTTCTCATTCCTATCAGTAAACTAATTATGTGACAATAATGTATAATGTGCTTCCCTTAATTATTAAGCAATACTAAAGTAGTTTAAAACATATACTTGAGAATTTTCAAAGATAAAGCACTCAGGCTGGGAAGGTGTCTCAGTGGTACAGTGCTTGCCTTGCATGCATGAGGCCCTGGGTTTGATTCCTCAGTACCACATAAACAGAAAAAAAAACGGAAGTGGCGCTGTGCCTCAAGTGGTAGAGCACTAGCCTTGAGCGGAAGAGCTGAGGGACAGTGCCCAAGCCCAGAGTTCAGGCCCCACAACCGACAAAAAAGAAAAGATAAAGCACTCAGTTAAAGGTCTGAAGAACGATGTTATACTAATACAAACATGTAAAAAGAACCTATTTTTTGTGATAGTCCAGAAGCAGAAGAGGCTGAGCTTTCCTAGATATTTTGAGCCATTTAAAAAGAGATGCTTCAGCCATGATGGCCCTGAGTAGGGAAGCTCTATAACTCAGTATGAAAATATGCATTACAGTAAACAGGCTACTACATATGTGCTGGCAACAAAAACCACTGGAACACACTGAACGCAGAGTTGATAAGATTTCTTGTTCTTTGTCATTGCTTCTCAGTTAGCTGGGGGCTGGTGCCTCACATCTGTATTCTTAGCTAATCAAAAGGCTGAGATACAAAAGATTATAACTGAAAGCCAGCCAGGGAGAAAAATCCCTGTGTCTCTATCTCCAATTAGCCAGCAAAAAGTGAAGCGAATGGTATAATGCCAGCCACAAGCAAGCAAGCACGCCAAGTATGGAACTCTATGAGTTCAGGCCCTGGTAGCAGCAAAACAAACAAGCAAACATACACACACACACACACACACACACACACACACACACACCACACACACACACACCACACACACACACCACACACACACACACACACACACACACACACACACACACAATTTTAGAAATCTAGGATTTCAAGAGTTACCAAATTTAGGTTTTTAAGGTAACAGATGTTTATATCTAACATTGCAAAATGAAAAATTATTAGTTCTTTTTACAAGGTGGGGAAATACCATAAGTCAACTGTTTTGGCACTCTGAAGACCATTGATATTCTTTGTTGGCCCCCAAATTACATATCTGGGACTCAAAAGCTGGGAGTCGGTGGCTCATACCTGTAATCTTAGCTACTCATGAGGCTGAGGATGGTGGTTTAAAGCCAGCCCTAGCAGGGAAAGTCCGTGAGACTCTTATCTCCAATAACCACTCAGAAAACCGGAAATGGTGGAATGGCTCAAGTAGTAGAGCACTAGCCTTGAGCTGAAGAGCTGAGGCACAGTGCCCAGGCCCAGAGTTCAAGCCCCATGACCACAAAAAAAAAATCCACTAAGAATAAGATGAGAGGGTGGAAGTAACTTCTGGATAGGGACAATGGCAGCTTTCTTATTAAAATCTTACCCTTCAAGGTAAGATTAAAAATATTCCCCTCCTCCATGAAATTATATTGTCTTTGTATCTTATTAGCAAAAGGCTAACATTTTTATCTCCAAACTCTGAAAATACTTGTATCATTACCATTTAGCTGGTCAACACTTTCACATTTTCTCTAGATTTGTGTATGTATGTGTGTGTGTGTACACACACACACACACACACACACACACACATATATGTCTAAGAGCCATATCTCTTTAATGATGGTATGTTTTATAGTAGTTAATACAATGCTTTGTAAATAGCAAATTGGGGGGGGTGGCACCTATCATATATCTCACACTTGTGCTTATCTTTAAAAGGTTATTTCACTGCTGTGATCACAGATGTGTATTCCACTCTCATTAAGCAATTCCTTTTTTTTTTAGTTTTTTTGTTTGTTTGTTTTTGGGGGGTCCAGTCGTGGGGCCTGAACTCTGGGCCTGAGCGCTGTCCCTCAGCTCTTCAGCTCAAGGCTAGCACTCTACCACTTGAGCCACAGCGCCACTTCTGGCTTTTTTCTTTTTGCTTATGTGGTGCTGAGGAATCGAACCCAGGGCCTCAGGCATGCAAGGCAAGCGCTCTACCACTGAGCCACCTTCCCAGCCCTTTCATTAAGCAATTCTAATAAACATTCTTTTTCTTTTGCTGATACTGGGGCTTGAACTCAGGGCCTCACACTTACTGGGCTTTTTTGCTCACAGCTGGTACTCTCTACCACTTGAACTGTATACACCTCCAGCCTAGCTTTTTGCTGGTTAATCAGAGACATAGTCTTATGGGCTTTACTGCCTAGTCTGGCTTCAAAATGAGATCCTTCAGAGCTTAGCCACCTTAGTAGCTAAGATTACGGGCATGAGCCACTGGTACCCAGCTCACACATACTTTATACATAAAACATAAGCATGAAAAGAATGTTACTTATCCAAGGATCTACCAGTGACACAGCATTGGAAAACTGAGATTCACCACTCATTCAAAAGCCTACTCCAACACTTTGTCTTGATTATCAGCCACATGAACTGTAAATTTTTGAAGCTGGAGGATTGTCTACACCTGGGCTCATTATACTTTTCTATCTACTTTATGTATACCTTTATGTAATCCATGACAGCAGGATTATCAACATTGTTTTCCTAAAAAGGACTCAATAAAAAGTCCAACTTAAGATCTAGATTTTTTTGAGGCAACAACCCACTACTACCTTAAACAGTGTTCTACTTTGAATTTGAGAAAGATCAATAGGATTTTACTTAAGCAGTAATTATCACACAGCAAGTAGTTGCTAAACAAGGTTTACATTAAATAATATGACTTCTAAGGTATAGATTCATTTAATGCTCTATAGTTACCCAAGGGTTCCCTTATGAGTCACAGGCTTCAGCATCTTTCCCCAAATACCATTCAATGAACATCACTTTTCAGTTTGGTTTGTATTTTTCTAAGTGACTATATAATTTAAACTCTCCCTTCTAATGATGACTAAACTAAGGGACAGTCACTAATAAAAAAAAAGCTGACTCACTGAATATGCCTGTTTATCGGGAATCTTTTTCTCAAAAACTTCCACTGGTTCCCAGTTATTAGCAGAGTACTTTTTTTCAAGAGTAGCACACTGAAAAACTGTTCAAAGTCTAAGCCTCTATTCTTCTTCTATGTACATTAACCTCTGTAAACTCATCAGAAATTTCATGCTTAAACCAGGGAACTCTACTCACTGCCTCCTAAATGTAAGACTCTATCTTACCTTCAAGCCTTCATTACTTCATGTTCTTTTTCCTTCAAAAAGGCCTTCCCCTTTGCACTCTGCCTGTAGCAGTACTATCTGTCCTGTAGGGCAGTTGTTTCTCACTCCTTTCAATCTAGTAACCTTAGGAAAACCGAATGAAAGCTACACATTCACATCCTATATAATCTCACAAATGAAACTGCATATAATTTCAAGAAATTCACAGATTCCCCCTTTAAAGTCAGAAAGCTCAGATGAAAACGACTCTGTGAGAAAAGTTAAAGTCATGCTGACTGCAGGGAAACTGATGCATTTGCCTACTTCCTTAAATCAGTAAACTCTCAGTGAGAGATTACCTTGAATTTAAACAAGGGAGGAGAAGCTACATGGAAAAAGTAGAGGGCAAGTAAGCTTGAAGAACGACAGGATGTATAAACACAGGTCTTTAGGAGGGGCATTCCAGGAGGACTGTTAAGAGTATATTCAGAAACAGTTAGTGTATGGATTCTCTCATTGTCCGTGTACATATACAGCACTTAACACACTACAGGATAATATAGTTACCTGCTGGTGTGTCTAATTTTATACTGGCAGGTAGTACTAATTACCTAGCCTAGTATAATACTCATTAACTGTATACAAAAAAAATCTGGAAAAATCAGTGTTGAAACTTGCAATGAGAGGATGGATAATAAAAAGGCTGAAAAAGCCACTAGATTTTAGGAGACATTTTAGAATTTTCAGAGGTGTGTCAGATTATCAGAATTCATAACCATTAAATAATACATCAAAAATAAATTAACCAAATCTCTGTATAGGAGCAATTCCCTGAATGACTATCAGTCAATATTATCATCTTGTTTCTACAATCACATTTAACAAAACTGCCTCAAGATATTGTACAACTTCTTCAAAATTCTTTCATTTTACCTGAAGTACTTAGAAAAATGCATGTGTGAAAAATTATGTATTGTGTGTTTAGAAGAAAGAGTACATGGAGAATAATTTATAAAACTATTGGTAAAAATTCACTTTTCTGTGATAGAAAGCAACTTATAATAAACGAGATACCACTCTCCTGTCAGTCTTTCAAAATATTGATGAGGTTTACTGAAAGTAAGTCTTGTACCCATTGTTGGACAAAAAAAAAATGGCCAGGAACAACCTAACAGAGAAACAAACGGCCTATACAATGTACCCATGTCCTTATCAATACATCCCAGTGGATCACTTACCGTGGGGATGGCAGTAGTACAACTGACCCTTCTGAGTCGTCTCTGCATCAGGTCATGCTCCATACCATTAACTTCAGCCTTCAGTCGCTCTAGTTCCTCTTTTTCAAGTTTCAGTTGCTTTGCTAACCTCTCCATCCTTGCTCGCTGATGTAACAGCAAGGCTAAAGCATTACAGATACAGTCATTGCAAAGAATAACACTGAAAAAACTGACTGGAAATTTTCTACATGCACGGCTATGTATAAAAGATGCCAACTTGGGGGCTGACATTTACTTTAAGGTCTTCCTACGGCTGTTTGGTTTGTTGTTTTATGGTCGGTCATGGGGCTTGAACTCTGGGCCTGAGTGCTGTCCCTCAGCAATTCAGCTCAAGGCTAGTGCTTTACCACTTGAGTCACAGTGCCACTTCAGGTTTTCTTTTTTTTTTTTTTGGTTGCGGGGCTTGAACTCTGGGACTGGGCACTGTCCCTTAGCTCTTCAGCTCAAGGCTAGCACTCTACCACTTGAGCCAAAGTGCCACATCCAGTTTTCTGGTGGTTAATTGGAGATAAGAGTCTTAAGAACTTTTCTGCCTGGGCTGGCTTTGAACCGCGATCCTCAGATCTCAGCCTCCGGAGTAGCTAAGATTATAGGCATGAGCCACCAGCACCTGGCTCCATATCTGTTTTAATTTAGCTTGTAACTACTACCAAAATGACATCACCCATTTGTTTTGTCATCATAGTTTTTTAAGGATATTCTTTGCCTTTCCTAAGACTCTTTTTAACATAATTATCTGTGCTTTAAAGGGCTGATATATGTATAAATTATATATATAATTACAATTTAATCACATTTCTTTTTTTGGGAAAAATCATACTAAGTGAAGTAAGCCACACCCAAAGAAACAGGTCCCATGGTTTCCCTTATTTGCAATAACTCATGTATGTCTAGGATAATCGCAGCAGATGATCAGAATAGCTCAATAGCTATGTACACATGATCACATTTCTTCTTATATATTCAAAGAGTGTCAAAAATCTCAAAAATATCCTGAATAGATTTTTAAAAATCTAGAAGAGGTCTACTATTAGCTATTCTGGCAATACTCATCATTAATAATTTAATTACTTATAAATACTATACCGTTCAGGCCATCCTCTTTGGAAAAGATGAAAATTCTTTTATGTGATGAACTAGTTTATCCTGTATGAATTTTCCCCACTCTATAGTTTCTATTTTTAGCAACAGCCATTTTACATGAGTGTATTTTTCACAGTAGATAGTCTCCCCTCACCAAAAGTCTTACTGGTTCTTAAACATCATGCCTGCACTTTTATATTTTAAAACAAAGTCTATAGATAATTCAGAATCACTACCCCTACTTGTAATAGTAATGTTATGGCATAATATTAATAAAAATGAAACATTTAATTTAAATAACTAACAAACAGTGTTTTAATGTAAGAAACTGTTACTTTGCCACAAACATTGTATTTCATAAAAGGGCTAAAATTTACCTTGTGTATAGGCATAATCATCTGATCCAGAACTAGAACTTCTTTGATATTTATGGCTTCCCTTTTCTCCCCCAGATCCTGGTATCACTGAAATGGGCTGAATAGGTTCTGGTGCTGCAGATCGCTCTTCTTGGTCCACTAAATTTAGAAGATTTTCAGTTGTTGCTCGGCCTACAGTAATTTTGAAAACTGTAGTTGGGTTTGGCATCACCCGAGGAGATGGTGATGGAACACACGAAGGTCCAGTTGGCTGTGTATATGTAATGTACACAGGATTAACACTAAATGGAGGTTTTGGTTGACTAGATATTCCTCTTGAAGGGGAACTTGAAGGTGGTGTGGTGGCTGTATACAAGGAGTGCTGATTCCGTGGAGACGGCTGATTGCTGATGGGTGATGGACTCCTAGTAATTGTTGCTCCAGGTCTCTGAGAAGGTTCAACTGTAATTTCTATCTTCTTCATGGAACCTTTGGGTAAGCTAGATGCTGTGTATGGGAGATAGGCCACTGAATGACTTCCTTGCTTCTGATAGCTAGGAGGTCCTTGTTGATATAGATGGGGTGGAGTAGTTGAAGGACTAGGTGGCATAAACACATGGGAGCTTGGGTGGCCCAACTGGGGAGGTTGCACTTGATGCTGTGGAGAGCTGAAGGGTGAAGGACACTGAGAAGGAGGAGGTGAATGGTAAGCTGACTGAGGGATTTGCTGCTGTTTGGGAGAATACTGAGAAGGTTGATAGTTTTGTTGGTGTGGATAAACAGGCAAAGGACGTTGGCTATAATGAGGGACTGGGCCCTGTGGTGAGGACTGCCATGGAGTACTTTGGGGAGTTTGTCTTCCTGATGAACTCTGAGATGTCTGTCTAATATAAATAGAACCAGGAGAACCATAGAGATTGCTTGGAATTTGTGGAAGAATCTGTAAAGCTCTTGGTACAGTCTGTCCAGAAGGGAGATTCTGAGATACTGTAACAGTAATTGGATTTGTACTATACCGAGGTATGTGCATATATGATGGAGGTGGTGGTGGTGGTGAAGGCCCTTGCATAGCAGATGGATTCATTCCTGTTTGCATGGAAGATGGTTGTTGAGGTGGCTGTGAAGGTGGAGTAGCTGCACTTCTGTTCTGTTCATTCATAAAAAATGGATTGTAGCTGGGAGTAGCAGCCACAACAGCTGGAGCTGAGTGTGGTTCTTGAACTAAACAGATTAGCTGTTTACCTGCTGTATGCTGTGGATCTATATGTCCATCACTTGAGCTATGTACCAGTGTTCGACCACCATTAAGTTGAGCTCCATCTCCTGGGTGGTAGCTACCAGGAGAATGGATACCTAGGTTAATATGTAAAAGGCGATTTCTATTCATTCGGTTGTCATCTGGACTATGATATTCCATATACAAGTATTTGCTACTCTCCTGGGAAAGGGCTCGGCAACAGGCTTCAAGATTGTTATTATTCTATGGGAGAAAAATGGTAAAAGCATCATTGGCAAAATTAACAAAGCCTAATAGCAGAAGACAGGCCCTGCCAGAGAGTTATAAAAATATTACTGTCATAAGATTAGTAGAGAACAATATGGTCTATATTCTGTAAAGGAGATCCCAAACAATTTATATTATCTACCCCCAAGTTTTCTGACTCCAAATCCAGGATTCATTTTATATTTGTTGTATCTCAATAAATTAAAATGTTGGACGAATCTTGGTTTTACCCCAATTACCGTACTATATAACTCATCATTAATTCTTAAGCACCATGACCACAAAAAGAAGAAAAAGGCAAAATTCCTTAAGAGCTAAAACAATAAAATAATAAAGCAGCCTTATCTTTTATTTGACTGTATTCCTATATAATTTCAAACTTTTGTGCAAAACAAGTCAGTAAAATAAACAAATAAAACTCCAATTCCATATTTTGAACTATGGCTCTGTGACTTTGCCATTCAGTGGTAAGTTAATAAACAAAAACCCTCTTATGGACCACCTTAATGAAATTCACTTCCATAATTTAAAAAGTTTTCATTAACTGAGAGGAAATACTCAATTTCATTGAAAAATCTGAATTTTTTTCAAGTTATATACATTCACAAAGACAGTAATTACAAACTGTTATTAAAGAAGTTCCAATTGATTATAAACAAAGGTTTCCTGGTGTTAAACAAAACTTCCCATTAAAATACAGAATTCCTAACTATATAATTAAACATGTATTATTCACTGCCTTTGAAATAATCCAAACAGTTTCTTAATTATCATGATTTTCTTTGTAACTTATAATGTACACAATAACTATTACACACTTATTTCAGGAAAGTACATTTTGTACAAAAATGAAACACTTAAGCTTCTGTTGAGAACTAAATAAAGCTAAACTTAAAATGAGACATAAACGCAATTAATTTCAGAGCTGAGAGAACTCTGTAAGGGTTCAACTACTGTCCAACTTACACTTACACATGAGGAAAGAGAAGCCTAAAAAGTAATATGGTTTGACAATAAGCATGGAACTAGTTAACTGAAGGGCCAGTTCCAAATTTCTCATCTCCTGCATCCAAGTGCTCTTTCCACACAATAATTACAAGGGATAGGCTATTTGGCCAAAGGATATTACCAAACTTAAGTGTCAGGCAGAAATCACATTCAGTCAAGTAAGGCTTTGCAAAATGAAATATACATAATAAAGTGTCTTCTTGAAGTTTTAAAATAAACTCATGGCTTATCCATTTTCTTGTTTCACAATTTTATTAATATTCTTGAAATGTAATGCTTTCTACCACCGAATTAGGGTGTTTAATTAGTATCCTCACAAAAAAGGATAGTAATTCAAAATGAGGAAAGAATGAATTTGGCAACTTATTCAATTGCATGTTTATAGCAACAAGTTGAATAAACCTAAGACAAATATATGAAAAAAAATTCAGATCACAAATACAAGACAGCTAAATAATTCCTCCTTTCCATTTGAGACTAGTTTTCACTAAGTAGCCACGCCTGGCCTTGAACTTTGCTCTTCCTAAATTTCTAGGTGTGTACCACCACACCCCACTTTTGCACAGATTCAAAGAAGAGTATCATCAAAAATAGATTCAATGTTTTCTCTCATATGTAGAAGCTAGATCTAAAACATACTGGGACATAATATATCATATAGGACTCCAGACATTCACACACAGTGAGACCAAAGGAGGATACAGTTAGGGGAGGAACACAAAGGCACAATGTGTCTGTGCTTCTGATCTTATGAAATAATATTTATTGAAATGAACTGCAGTAACTGGAAACAGGAGCTTTTTTGTCTTGTTTTTTTGTTTGCCTGTCTTTGGGAGGGGAAAGGGACACAGAAATGGAGGGACAAAGGGTGAATAAATGCAGCAGTGGCACTGTGTAGATACTATATTGAAAATGAACTATATAACTTGTGGTGAGGATGGGAGGGGAAAACTGGGAAAGAGAAAAGGAAGGGGTGACACTGTCCAGCAACCTTTCTGTACATTACCTTTATAATAACAATAAAAAATTTAATAAAAAAGAAAAAAGGAGGAAAGAATTTACACACACACACACACACACACACATTCCCCAATAATTCTCATTCCACATGCCCAGGCTGAGTTTTGTACTTGCTATATGCTCTATACAGAAGGGGAAGTGTAATTTACAAACCTTTGCCCAGATTTTATAGCATCAATGGGCTTTTTAGAGAGGGAAAAATACTCAAATGTCATGTTTGATTTGCTAAATGTCTTTTAAAATTTGCTAAAAATGTATCAAAAGAGCAAATGGATAAAGAGGTTAGAATTTTTTTTGTTGGTTGTGGGGCTTGAACTCTGGGCCTGAGTACTGTCCCTGAGCTCTTCAGCACAAGGCTAGTGCTCTACCACTTTGAGCCACAGCATCACTTCCAATTTTCTGGTGGTTAATAGGAGCTAAGAGTCACATGAACTTTCCTGCCAGGGATACCTTTGAATCAGGAGCCTGGGATCTAGCTTCCTGAGTAGCTAGTATTACAGGCATGAGCCATCATCACTAGCAAGGTTAGAATTTTTAACAAGGCATATTTGAACACTGTTGAAAGGACTGAAGCGGTGGGGGGAAAGCATCATATTCCTAAAAAGTGATCCTAAATTAAGGGATGATAGTCAAGAGAGAGGTTTTTAAGGCCTGCATTTTAAGCACAAACTACTAAATCTCATTTGTTCTAATGAAAGCAGAGAAAATTTCCAGAGCCAGTAGGGTGGAATATCTCCATAACAATGGATTGTTAATTCTAAAGGAAGAAAAAAGTGAAAGACTCAGCACAAGGTAAATATAAACAAATATTCATTGAGCTGAATTTCAAATTCTATTCTCTCAGTTTGGTTAAATGGCAGGTAATTAGAAGATAAATAAAACAAAACAATGTCAGAACTCATTGTAGACCTAGAATATGTTAGGACAGTGATTGCTAGGAAGTGGTTTCCATTAGGAAGATTTACTCTATTTGGTTTCATTGCAGTAGGGAAATACCTTTGCTCTACCAGAAAAAAACGTGGCTAAAGAGCTAAATGAAAGAATGTGTTAGGAAAAAAAAATCAAACTAACAAAAAAATCTTAATCCCAAAGGCCTAGACCTAATAATGTGTTTACAAACAAGGGAAGCACCTCTGTTACCACTATTGTTATGTGAGTCTATTATAACTACCCTCCCCTGTATAGTTTGTTATACCTTCATATTGCAGTTAGGGTAGTGTGAACACAGGTAAAGTATTGGCTATGTGTGGTGAAGACCAGTGGTCAGGGTTGAATACTGCTCCTAAAAGACAATTTACAAACACTGCTGAAATTTAACTGTTTGGTCACCACACAAAACCAACTCCAACAAGAAAAACTATAACTTAGTAATATCACTGTCTTTGACAGGAAATTTACCTGTAACATGCACTGAGACACCACACCCTCTGGAATTTCAGGGAAACGTTGTCGGAGGTCATGAAGCACCTGAATATCAAGCTGTGGGCTGCTTTGCGCCATGCCAGAGCAAATGGTGGTTGAGTTTCTCTTAGAAAATCAATGTTAACCAGCCTTCCAAAAGAAATGATCTTCCAACATCACAGTCATTTTCTATTAAAAGAAAGTAAAATGTGATTACTCCCAACTATTTACTTCACTATATTCAGACCAATGCCATAAAATACATTAAATTGAAAAACTTAAAGTATGTATATATCTAATTCCAAGGTGAGAAAATAGACCAAGTTGAACTTAGCCAGAGATTTTTCTGATATAATATAGCCAATAAATGGCTTAAAACCAAAACAAGATAAAAAAAAATTAAAAAATCCCAAATCTTGTTTCATCTTAAAACTGAAATAAAAATAGCAGCAGCCAGAGAAAATGTAGAGTATTATTATTTGGCAGCCACATTTTTCTAGCCTTTAGAAATCCTACTTATGTATGTCACTCATGTTTGCCCAAGGGCTCTCACATCACTCTTTTGAAGCACAGTAATCATTTTGATGTCTGGACTAATGAAATAAAGAAAAAAGGACTGGGAACAGCACCAAGCATACTTATATGGTTTGCCTTACATTCTTTTTGTACTCTGAATCCAAAAAAGGTTTGAATTTAAAGTTTAAATAAAGGAAACTCAATTTCTAAATGGTAACAACTTAAAACAGACCCAAATGGAAAGGTGATATTTTTGGGGTTTTTTTGTTTTTAAATTATACTGGTGTCTCATTATTATCCAGACCTGCCTGGGTAGGTTTTCTCCTACTTTTGGTGCCACTGGCACAAGCACTAAATGCAGGCTTTCAGGCCACAACTCAAGTTAAGCACTCTCATAAAGCAACTGCAGAAGCAACAATGCCTCATAAACTGGCAGTATGCAAGGTCAATTAAGCAATCCATTCCTTAATCTGTATTTGCCATTTTTAAAAGTAAAAGGTGCAGTAAATATCATAGAATCTCTTATGTCTGCTGTGTTCAATCACTAAGTGATCAAGTATTTTTTTGTGCTTGTCTGGGGTCTGAACTCAGAACCTGGGCACTGTCCCTGAACTTTTGTGCTCAACATTAGTGCTCTACCATTTGAGTCACAGCTCTTCTTCCCACTTTTTGCTGGTTAATGGGATATTAATGTATCAATTGACAAAACTGAATTGTAAGCAGAACATTAGAAGTATTTAATCAATGTTAGATGTGTTGAGTTTACAAAGATTACTCAAGCAGTAATTGCTGTAGTTGCATGTAAAAATACTTTGTCTTAGGAACTAGACCATGCAGGAGTAAAGGACATTGTGTGGGTGTGCATGTGCATTCACACACATACACATGCACACACACATGCATACACATGTGCATGCATACACACTCCACTCTTTGGGATTTGAATTGGCCAGAGCGCTGTCCCTGAGCTTTATTGTTCAAGGTTAGTTCTCTACCACTTGAGCTATAACTCCACTTCCATCTTTTTGATAGTTAATTGTAGATAGGAGACTCATGGGCTTTCTGGCCCAGGTTGGTTTTGAACTATGATCTCAGATACCAGCCTCCTGAGTAGTGAGGATTACAAGGTGTGAGCCACCTATCTTTTTGATAGTATATAGCTGACTATATAGATATAGATATATAGTATATAGCTGACTATATATATATAAAGCTGACTTTTCCTTTTGATAGTATATAGCTGACTAGACACAGGGCCTCACAGTGACTAGATAATCCAGTAGATATTAGATAAACTGAAAAAAATGAATCAAATTTAAATTTAACAGAAATGTTAACAGCTTTCCTACCGGGAAATGATCAGTACTAGGACCTCCTACCAGGAACTGACCACATTTTGAATAACTCCAAACTTCTATAAAGAGCTTCTGAAGCATCCAAATGCTAGCAATTTCCCGCTGGTATATATCTTTGTTTTTCTTTTCCTTTTGCAGCTTCCTCTCTTTAATTAGAAGTCTTTAAAATACAAGATCAATATAGTTCTCTTGTATGAGAAACAAGAAAAACCAAGAGTCAACAAAGACATACAGGTTTCAGGTGCAAGAAGAGCTTGGGCTCCATGCAGTTCATAGTACTTTGCAGTTGCCAGCTCTCAGATTGTTTTGTCAGCCTCCAGGACAAAATTGCCATTAATCTTTTTCTTTCTTTCTTTCTTTCTTTTTTTTTTTTTGGCTGTGGGGCCTGAACTCTGGGCCTGGGTGTTGAACTCAAGGCTAGTGCTACCACTTGAGCCATGGCACCATTTCCAGCTTTTTCTGTTTATGTGGTGCTGAGGAACCAAACCCAGGGCCTCAAGGCAAGCACTCTACCACTGAGCCACTTTCCAAGCCCCTGCCATTAATCTTATCACTATTATCAGCTACTATTTACTAAACAATTATGTCCACAAAGTTAACTATAATTATTTCCATTTCACAAATAAGAAAGTGAATGCAGAGACTGAGTAGATGGCAGAATTATGAGTTAAACCCAAACAGTTTTCTAAAAAGTCTATAATCTTTCCATCATGCCACCAACAGGAAGGAAGAAATCCCGAGGGCACCTTTCTAATGACAAGCAACATTTAGGTATCATCCAAATAGGGATTTAAAGGTATTCAGGGAGGTAGAAAGCTGTGAGGGAAGGAAACAATTCTTGTACAAATGAACTGGCTGTTTCAGAATGTAAAAAGCAGTGGTACAAGGAAGAAGTTATTTTTTTTTAAGGGTTGCAAATATTTGCCTTGGAAATAGTTTATTAAGGCACTTTCATATCTAAGCAAATGACTTAAACACCCAAAAAGATGCCTGTAACCTGAAAAGATGATTGATAGTAGACCAACATTCTACAACAAAGAAATCTAAACTGATAGAACCATTTTTCTTAAAGGATTATAGCACCGGGTGCAGGCGGGGCACGAAAGTACCTGAGACTCCTATCTCCAATAAATCACTACAAAACTGGAAGTGGTGATGTGACTCAAGTGGTAGAGTGCTCGCTGAAGAGCGCAGGGACAGCGCCCAAACCCAGAGTTCAAGTCCTATGACTGGCAAAAAAAAAGTTAAAGAGAAAGGATTAAAGCATATAATCTTTTTTTAGTAAGTTTTTTATTGAGAAAATACTGTACAGAGGGGTTACAGTTACATGAGCAAGGTAATGAGCACATTTCTTATCAAGCATTGTTGCCCCCTCCTTTGTTTTTCCCCTACCATCCCTTCCCTCCCATCTCCACAACTACACTCCCCTCCTCACTACCACCCTCCCCCTACCCAGGCCAAAGATGTATAGTTCATTTTTGACATAACATCTTGTAAATCTCATTGGTGCAATGGGTCCACCTGTACCCCTATTTAAACAATTTGTTTTTTCCCTTCCTCTTCACAAAGTATACCAACATCAAACACAGTGAAAACAGGGGTTATACAAAGCAACAAAAAAAATCACATGGTACCTTATAAATACATTATAAACAATAGCAAGAAAGATAGCCAGGCACCGGTGGCTCACGCCTGTAATCCTAGCTGCTCAGGAGGCTGAGATATGAGGATCATGGTTCAAAGCCAGCCTGGGCAAGAAAGTCCATGAAACTCTTATCTCCAATAAACCACAAGACAATGGGAAGTGGCGCTGTAGCTCAAGTGGTAGAGTGCTCGCCTTGAGCTTAAGAGCTGAGGGACAGTGCCCAGGCCCAGAGTTCAAGCCCCATGATCGACCAAAACAAAACAAAAGAATAGCAAGAAAGAAAAAAACCACTTGTGTCCCTATCTTCGGGTTCATTTTGCTTAAATTCATCTTATCTGGTCATAGCTTTTGACCTTTTCTACTTGTCTCAGATATATACTAGTTATTGCAAATAAGGCAAACCATGGGACCTGTTTCTTTGGGACTGGCTTACTTCACTTAATATAATTTTTTCCAAGTCTTTCCATTTCCTAACAAATGGAGCGATGTCATTCTTTCTGATGGAGGCATAGAATTCCATAGTAGTTGACATTCTGCCCAGTACATTTATTAACATAAGCTCTAACAGACATGGATAATCACGTAGTGTATCGTGGTGGTATATATCACTTAAGCCACACCTGCACTTCTGGCTAGTTTTGGTGTTTAAAAAGAGGTAAGAGTCTCTTGTGTTTTCCTGCCTAGTCTGGCTTAGAACTACAATCACAGGCTCCTGAATAGCTTTCATAAAATGTTAAAATATGTCTTTTAAAAAGTAATTTCCCTTTTGTTCACTAAGAAGTAGCAAACCATCTTAAAAAAAAGTTTAAAACCAGCTTAAGGGGGCTGGGAAGGTGACTCAGTGGTAGAGTGCTTTGCCTTACATGCATGAGGCCCTGGGTTCGATTCCTCGTAGCATATAAGCAGAAAAAAGCCAGAATTGGAGCTGTGGCTCAAGTGGTAGAGTGCTAGCATTGAGGTAAAGAGCTAAGCGACAGTACCCAGGCCCAGAGTTCAGGCCCCACGACCAGCAAAAAAGAAAAAAACAGTTTAAGGATAAAATATTTCAGGTGATAAGTCAAGTTCCTTTAAAAACACTTAAAAACTTCTGGTGTCAGAGTGAAGTAAGGTCACGAGGAGAAGGGTAGATTAATGGAGAGGAAAAGGATGAGGGAATGAAGTCATAATAGTCAAGGTATATATGTGAAAATGAAACTAGGAAAATTGAGGTAATGTCCGTAGGGTTGGGAGAAAATTTTCAAAGGGCTATCATTAATTGAGATTTTTGTACTCATAAATTGACATACTGAATTGAAGCCTTAAAGATAAGGAAAAAAAAACAAAAGTACTACACTGTATTTTTGTATTTAGTACCATCACAAACAACTAAAATGAAACCTTCAGATAGTGTTGTATTAATCTTAGCTACAATGCAGATTAAACATACAATTTATTGTCCATATATATCAAGGTATGCACTGACTACTATACAGAATACACAGACTTTGTTTATGAACATTAACATGGACTGCTACTTTTGTACAATATCAGAAGTACTCAATGATGATTTTTTCATTTAAAACCACGCAGAGACACATTTGCAAATATTATTTGTTATCCATTGGCAAAATTAATGTATCAGGGAAACAATGTCTCTTTTTACATGTGTCTAAGAAAATGATTAGTTTGTACCA